TCTAGTTCTTCTCTCTCCTTTTAACAGTTCTACTTATTATTATTATTTATTTGTTTTTGTTTGTTTGCTTGTTTTCTTTTTTTTTTAGCCCCGACATATGCATGAGAACATGTGCTATTTCTTTTCTGTGCCTGCTTATTCCGCTTAATATAATTTTCTTCAGTCTTATACATGTTGCTACAAATGGCTGAATTTCATTCTTTCTTATGGATGAGTAGTATCCCATTGTGTATATGTACCACATTTTCATTATCCAATCATCTGTTGATGAGCATTTAGGTTGGTTCCATATCTTGGCTATTGTGAACAGAGCTGTGATAAACGGAGGTGCAAATAACCCTTCGACATGATGCTTTCCATTCCTTTTTCTGTATACCCAATAGTGTGATTACTGGGTCATACGATAGTTCTAACTGTAATTGGAGAAACCTCCATACTGTTTTCCATAATGGCTGCACTAATTTACAATCCCACCAGCAACGTATCAGGGTCCCCCTTTCTCGCATCCTAGCCAGCATTTGTTATTTTCTGTCTTTTTGATAATAGTCTAATTGGAGGGAGATAATATATCAGTGTGGTTTTGATTTGCATTTCCCTGATGATTAGTGATGTTGAGCATTTTTTTCATATACCTTTTGGCCATTTGCATGTCTTCTTTGGATAAATGTATATTGAGCTCCCTTGCCCATTTTTTACTTGAGTTATTTGGTGTTTTACTATTGAGTTGTTTGCATTTCTTATATATTCAGGAAATTAGCCCATTGTCAGATGCATAGTTTGCAAACATTTTCTCCCATTCTGTAGGTTGTCTCTTCGCTTAGCTGATTGTTTCCTTTCCTGTGCAGAAACTTTTTAATTTGATATAATCCCATTTGCTTATTTTTACTTTTGTTGCTTGTGCTTTTGAAAACTTATTCACAAAATCTATGCCTAGTCCTATGTCCTGGAGCACTTCCCCTGTGTTTTACTATAGAAGTGTTACAGTTTCAGGTCTTACATAAGTATTTAACCCATTTTGAGTTGATTTTTGTTTATGGTGAGAGATGGGTCTAGTTTCATTCTTCTACACATGGATATCCAGTTTTCCCAGCACCATTTATTGAAGAGGCTGTCCTTTCCGTGAGAGATGGGTCTAGTTTCATTCTTCTACACATGGATATCCAGTTTTCCCAGCACCATTTATTGAAGAGGCTGTCCTTTCCCCTATGTATGTTTTTATAGCCTTTATCAGTGATCACTTGGCTGTAAAATGGTTCAGTCATACTGTGTGTAACATGCTTATTTCTTTCAGTGATAAGGTATATATATGTTATATATGTATATATGTACATATATATTTATGTGTATATGTGTGTGTATATATATATGTATACTTTCCTCTATTTTAACAGCTGCTGATTATTTCATAGATTCCATGCCCATAATTTAATTAATTCTTTTCTGGTGAATTATTAGGTTATTTTCAACTTTTTGACGGTAATAAATATACCATTTCACACTTGTCCAATTATTTTCTTATGCAAAATTCCTTTGAACCTATTTATTATTCAAAGGGTCTGAACATAGTTGGAGGTTTTGATGTATTTTTTTAGATAGCTCTCCAGAAATTGTATATTAATGTACATTTCAATTATGTATAAAATTTTTTCTCCCATATAACATTTAGTAAAATCAGACATCTTAAACATAGTAATCTTTATTCATTTGATAATGAAAAGATATCTCATTGCTGTTTTAATTTACAATGTTTGGGTTATTATTAGCATTATGTATCTTTTCATTTTCATTGGATGCTTGTTCTGTTATGAACTGCAGTTTTGCCCTTTGCCCATTTTTCTTGCAGAGTGTTTGCCTTTTTCTTACTGATTTATATGATATTTTTAAAAAGAATAAGAACTATATTTTCCTGATACAAGTTGGAAATAATTTTCTCAATATTTTATTTGTCTATCAACTTAGTATTTTTTTTTATTTTGCCTTTCACAGATTAGTTCTTTTTACACTATGCAAGCAAATATGTTAGTGCTTTCATTTCATAGTCTTTGGGTTTTATATTTTGCTTAGAAAGCACTTTCTACCTCAAGAATGTTAAAATATTCTACATTTTCCCCCTACTTTATATTGATAGTTTAAATCCATGTATAATTGGGCATGTGTTTATAATGAGATGCAAGATATGGATTAACTTTTTTGTCAAATGAAGATTCAATTTTGTTAGCACCATTTATTGAATAATCTATTTTTCTTGAACTTATATAGATTACCACTGTTATTCATACTATACATCCATATATTCCTGATTTTGTTAGTACCACATTCTTTTAACTTGTTTGACTTTATAGTACATTTATACATTCACAAGAAAACATTAATTTTGAAATCTAAAAAACATGAAGTGGTATATAAAAAAGAAAAGCATAAAATAAAAACAGAACTAATGAAAAGAAAGCATGAAATGACATGGGGTCTCTCTGCTGTTATATATCCTTTTAATTACCTGCAATTTCTCCTTTATAACCTCAGTGTGTTTGTAATTCCTTGTTCAGTGTCTATCTCCTCTGATAAATGGTAATACTTGAAGGCAGAGCCCATATCTTTGTTATTAATCCCTGAACCCCAGTGTATGGATTTCCTGACATTTAGCAGTACTCACATTATTCACAGGTTGAATGAATGAAGTGATCTTGCTTTTGCAGGATTACTTGAGGAGGAATTTCTGATATCAGAAAATTTAAGGTAAAGTGCCAAAATGAGTAGTATAGACAATAAAGGGCCAAAAGATTTCAGAGGACTGCTCAGCTTTACATTTACTGAGTTGATGTGAAGTTGGAATGTCGGGGAAGATGTCACTGAAGCCTCTGACTGAGTTCTAAAGCATGGATTGGGATCATTTGGTTAAATGGAGGTGAGAAGAAAAGTTCTTCCACTGGAGCAGAGAGATGTAGAACAAGTTCATCTGTGGCAATACTTTGGAAACCTGATTATATTGGAGAATACTAAAAAACCAATTGAATGAATCACATGGATCATGTTAAAGAGAATATGAAAATGCATTTGATTATATAGGAAAGGCCCAGATTATGAAGGACTTCAAAGCTAAATTAAGAAATTAATGCTGTGTTCTGTGGGCATTCATTACTGCATGTTTTTAGCAAGGAAGTAACAATTGAAATTGTGTTTAGATAGATTAAACAAGGGCTGGTTTAGAGGATACATTGGAATGTATAGCTAAGATTTTATCTTTTCTGGCTTTAGAAAAACTATTATGTTGGCTGCAGTCAGTCAAGTGTTCCCTAAACAGGCATATTTAGTTGTTATATATTTATTCAAAACCAAAACAATAAAATTTATGTACCAAAAAAAAGAATACCCACAGATCAAAATACAAAAATCGAATGGAAATGGATCATAAACCTAAGACTATAAAATTTAAGAAAATAACAGAGCAGAAACCTTTTTGTGACCTTTGGTAAGTTAAGGATACAAAAACACAAGTCATAAAAAGAACCATGAAATAAAAGGTTGATAAGTTGGATTTATCAAAATTAAATTTTTCTGCTTTCAAAATACACTTTTAAGAAAAGAAAAAGACACAGGCTGGAAAGAAATATTTGCAAAACTCGTGTTTGTTAAAAGACTTTTATCCTGAATATATAAAGAATTTTCACAACTCAATAAAAGTAGGAAAAATATTTGAAGATAGGTCACCAAAGAAGAATTATGGATAGCAAATATACACATAAAAATATGGTCAACAGTAGTCATAAAGGAAATGCAAATTAAATCCATACGAGGATACGTCAATAAGTTCATGGAAAAATAGAATTAAAAGATAACACAAATCTTTCCATGAACTTTTTGAAGTACCTTCATACAGTTTTTCATACCTATTAAAATTAATAAAAATTTAAACCTGAAAATACCAAATTCTGGCAAGTATAAAGAGCAACTGAATTTTTCATACATTTCTAGTATAAATGCAAAATGGCACAGCCACTTTGGAAAGCAGTTTGGCAATTTTCATAAAGATAAACATGTACTTACCCTATGACTAAATAATTTTACTCCTATGTATTTACCCCCCAAAAATAAAATATATATTTACACAAAAACCTATGTCAAATATTTATAGTAGTTTTATTCATAATTGCTCAAAACTGGAAACAACCCAAAGTCCATTTACTGGTGAATAAACAAATTATAATGCACATATGCAACAACTTCGATAAATCTTAAAATAATTGTGTCAAGTAAAAGAAGCCAGACATAAATGGTTACACTTGGCATGATTTTATTTATATGGTATTCTGGAAAAGGTGTAGTAATAGGAACAGAAATCAGTGGTTGCGGAGGTCTAGGTATAGGAAAGCGGAATTGATTTCAAAGGAGCGTAAGGGAACATTTTGAAATCCACTAAAATACTCTCTATTTGATGATTGCTGGTTATAAGAATACATTTTACCATATGCTGTGGGTTAAATGTGTCCCCCAAAAGTTCATGTGTTGGAAACTTGATCCCCATTGTAACGGTGTTAAGAGGGTGGGAAATCCGATTATGGTATTTGAAAGGTGGGGCCTTTAAGACGTGAGTGGATCGTGAGAATTGTGCCCTCATGAATGGATTGATCCATTCATGGAGTAATGGGTTGATGGTTTAATAGGTTGTCATGGGTGTGACTGCTGGCTTTATAAGAGCATACATGAAGAGCTCTTGCCATCCTCGCCACGTGATCGCCTGTGTCACCACAGGACCCTGTAGAGAGTTCTCACCTGGAAGAAGGCCCTCACCAGATGCACCCCCTGGTGGACTTCCCAGCCTCCAAAACTGCAAGAAATAAATTTAGTTTCTTTATGAACTACCCAATTTTAGATATTCTGTTATAATAAATTTTTGGAAAATTTAGGAAAATAAATGGTCAGGGCCCCTGCGATGTTCGAAGTCTTGCCGATCATCTGAGGTGGGTATGTCCAGTGCACAGGAGTGTTCCTGGTGATTGCGCATGAGCATCCGGGTGTTTTTCCTGAGTTACGGACTTGAGTATAAAGGACTAACTGCGCAGATGCAAGAAGCTTCTAGCAGACGCTCTGTGAAGCCATTAGGTCGGCTGCTCCTAGCTCAGAATAAAGCCTGTTGTTTCTTCACCTACTGCTCCAAGGACCTTTTCCTATTACTTAGGTCGTAGAGCTGCGTGTGAAGGGTTTGTGACCCAGTCTGGACAACAGTCTCGAGGGGTCTGTGAGACCTAGCCCTAGCTTTATGTAAATCATACCTCAATAAACCAGACTTTAGAAATCAAACAACGAAATCATGTTTTAAAAAGAAAAACAAAACTAGAACATTCTTAGTTTAAGCTGAAACCTGAAGGATGAGTAGAAATGAGACAACCAAAGGTTGGAGGCAAAATTGTTTGAGGCAATGGGAATAGTTTAGGCAATAGCCCCGAGGAGGGGAGAATTTGGATGTCAGAGGAGGTCGCCCAGGGCCAGAGTGGCAGAGTCATTGCAAAGGAGGTAAGTTTGACAAGAAATGGGGAAGAGGAAGATATGAGCGGTAGGTCATACGAGCCTTACACCGACTATGCAGGACTTTAGATTTTGTTCTAAAAGCAATGTGAAGTGTCTTAGTCCGTTTGAGCTGATACAACAAAATACCTACACTGGGTGGCTTATAAACAACAAACATTTATTTCTCACAGTTCTGGAGGCTGGAAAATCTAAGATCGTAAGGGACAAAGGATATAAAAGTAATTTCTGGCAATGGATATGCCCCCAGTATGAATATGGCCGTCACATCATGGACAGGAGGGGGGACAGTTAACTTTGTATCTCATGAATATTCTAAATAAATACATTAATTAATTTTTTTTTTAAAGTGCCAGCAGATTCGGTGTCTGATGCAGGCTTATTCTTCATACACAGTGTGTTCTGTCTGTAACCTCACGTGATGATAGAGCCAAACAAGCTACCTAAGGCCTCCCTTATAAGTGTGTTAATTCCATTCATAAGGGCTTCACCCTCATTTTCTAATCACCACCTAAAGGGCCTCACATCTTAATACCATCACCTTGGGGGTTGTTTCAATGTGTGAATTTCGAAGGGACATATTCAGACCATAGCAGGAAGCCTCTGAAAGATTTTAATCAGAGAAATAATGTGACCTAAGTTTTTAAAAGATCATTCTGGAATCTTTGGTGAGAAGGATTGGTGAGGGCAAAAGTGGGTGTGGGTAGACAGATTAGGAGAGCATTGAAAAGAGAGATGATGGGTGCTTGGGCCATGGTGGTGCTTTAGGAGGCAGGAGGGGCCAAATTGGAGATATATTTGCATCCTTATCTCCAACAACTACAAAAATGGAGTTAATAATAAATCCATGTCACTGGGCTGTTGTGCAGATACATGTATATAATTACTTTGCATTTTTGCTCAACGTATTATAAATGCTCAATACATGTTAGCTCTTATTTTAAAAAGATACAAATAAATACTGCTTCCCTTGTTTCTGCTCTCATTTTTATCCAGGTTTCGACTAGCACTTCTTCATAGTGGTGTGTACACTCTCTGGGAGGCCTTCAGTACTTGCACATGTCCTTATTTGTCTTTATCATCTACCTATGTGAAACCAGCCCACTTCTTCCTTAGTGGTAACCCTAATGCTGGTCAGTTTTCTCACAAAAATGTGTAATAATGCATGATCAAAACCATGCACGAACCAGACCTCCACTTCCACTTAGAGCTATGGACACCAGGTAGAATCCATTAGTATTAAGTCGACCTGGTTTTGTTTGTTTGATTTTTCCTGTCCTTGAACATTTGAGTATTCTTTTTTAAGAGGGTGGCATGGTGCAAATCTGTTTTCTTCAGTTATATCTGCTTGCTTTTATAGTAACATTAAACCCATTTTTATTATTTTACTACCCCCCAAATGTTATTATAATCATACAAATATAAATGAGACAGGCCTGGGAAAAAAGAATGAAAATGACAATGGAAAGAGAAAGACTTTTATGAATTTGGAAAGAAGACTCAAAGAGATTGGTGAACAATTAAAATACAGAAAGTCATGAATGTGAAAAGCCAAAGACAACACTAATTTCCATTCCTATTGGCCTGGGTGAAATCTGTCACCACTGGTATAGACAGAAATGTCACAAAAGGGATCTTGACAGGGGACAGAGAAAAAGATAATAAATTGTCTTCTAAAGACTTTCGCTTTGACTTTGAGGCAACCATAGAATTTCCAAACAGATGTGTCCAGGGACATTTGTAAGCTGTCAGATGGGGCATTAATCCACATGATCATTCTAAATGAGACACCAAAGATGCTGAGAGTAGAAAGGGCCTCCAGAGGAGGAAGAGAGGACCAGAAATTGCCCAGCAATCAGTGAAAAAGGAAGGTAAGTTGAGCATCAGGCAGTCAGAGATTGGGTAATGTGCAAAGGTTCTGACAGGAAGGCTGACATAAGAAGCAAAGAGTAGTAGAATCCCTGCCCCTATGGACTAATGTTCAGTGTCAGAGTTTCATTTTTTAGTGGAATTTGGAGTAACTATCGAGACAACAAAACATGGATTCATTTGTAGAGGTACAGAATATGGAACAGAAAGATCCACATGAGCATTCTAGTCAATCAAACACAGTGAAATTCACTGCTCAAATTGCTCTGCAAACATGGCATTAGGTATCTTCTTGACACTGGTGAGCTCTAAGAGATAAAATGATTTAGGATCTCCATTAAAGGAAAAAAAATCATTCGCCTCAAAAATTTTTTTATGCCTATTTTAAGATTTGCGTTTAGTTTTCTGCCTCAGAAAACTCAGAAGGTGAGAAGAGTATAGTTTGAAATCTTTGCTCTTGCTGATATATTTTCCTTCAGTATATTTAGTGGCAGTTTTTGTTCATGAATTCCTATTACTTCTTGGTTTTCAGGGCTGTTTGTAGCATCTCCTAATACAGAATAATCTGCAAGTTTAGTTAACATGTTTACTCCTTACAATTAATACAGATGCTAAATAAGACAGGCCATAAAACTCATATCACTAGCCTCCACCCCTTAACCTGGAACATTGTGATTTATTATCATCTTTATTTTTTATCCTTCATCCAGATTTTAGTCCTTGAAAAGATGTTTGAGTCTTATCCAATATCAATTAATTTAGCAAATATATTTCATGAGACACAGGGTCCTGAATATTACTCAAATCATGGTTTAGTATACATCTTATATATTTGTTTCCTTTTGATGCATGCAGAAAGTCAATTACATTCTACAGATATGGTTTTTCTTTAAAACATAGTGGCATTTGAAATTTTTAATCATTATTTGCCAAGACGAATCATTAGTACTTCTTTATAGGTGTTGTTTTAACATTTTTAATTGTTACATATTTACAAGTTTTACTTACTGAACAAAAAGCCATGCATTTATGGACTCTTTCCTTCACTCATTTATCAATATGTGTTAAATATCTACTACTTTGAGACCATGTCTCCTTTTCCTTTTACTTATAAATATTTGATTTAAAAATATTTTCAAAGCTCTAACTATACAAAAATCCTCTACAAATATATGAGGAATAGTTTAAATACATGTGGAATTATAAAAGGCATACCACTTTCTTTGGAAAGTGATCTTCATTTTTATTACCATTCTAAATTGGTTTGGTGAAATGGTCTAATGTTTTAAAACCAGTATATCTTTTTATTATCAAAGAATGATTTAAATACATCTTAAATCAAACTAATTTTTTCTGTGTTCAAATTTTTAAAATTAAGGATATTCTAGCACAAGATATATGAAATATTCAGAATATTTTATGCCAAGCACCAATATGTGTTCCATGATAACTGGGAAGAGGTTTGTCAATATAATTAAGACATATAAGAAGTAAAATTTGAGGGTAAGAGGGTGGAAATGTATATGTAAAAGTAAAAAACAAAGGGCCGACCCCGTGGCGCACTCAGGAGAGTGCAGCGCTGGGAGTGCAGCAACGCTCCCGCCGCAGGTTGGGATCCTATATAGGAATGACTGGTGCACTCACTGGCTGAGCGCGGTGAGTGCGACACCAAGCCAAGGGTTGTGATCCCCTTACTGGTCATGAAAAAGACAAAAAAAAAAAAAAAGTAAAAAACAAATACCATGGAAGACAATAGATATATTTCACGGAATAATAAGAATAATAATGACTTATTGAACTTTCAATATGTGCCAGAAATTTTGCTAAGCACTTTACATAAATTTTTCCACTTAATCTGCCCATATTATTTTTAATTGAGGAAAGTGAGAGTCTGAGGTATTAAATAATCTGTCTAAGATCACCACCCAGCTTGTCTTAATTAGAACCCAGGGTTGATTCTAGGTCAATTTCATTCCATAGCATGGGTTCTTAACCACCGTAATCTATTATTACCATCATGGTGAAGGAAGTGGTGCTCTTAATTCCATGGAGAAATAATAAGGGAGTTTGTAAGACTTAATACACCCAAAACTATTTACGAAACTAAGATGTTTCCATTCACAGCTGAGCAGAAAGTACAGTCTCTCTTCTTTAGGGTATTTGTCTAAAATTCTCTAAATATGTTAAAATATTCCTCAGGACTCACTTGTATTCGGAAGTACAACTCAATTTGCTTTCATATAATCTCCGGAAGTGGAACTCAAATATAACCGTTCAGCCTGAGGGACTCCTTAACCACTGCCAGGGTCTAATTACCCCAGAATGTGCTTCCACCAACTTGCTTTTACTGCCCCCAAAGATAGAGCCCTTTGTCGTAGCTGAAAGACAGGAAATGCATGGAGACTGGGATTTTGCTGTTGCTGCCCTGTTGGAATATCATGACTCCTGTTTTGCCTCATACACTGAGGATGAGAAAAAGACTCCCACAAACTTCTTGTCCAGTCAGAATGTTTCTTTAAGGTGAGATTAAAGATGATTCTTATTTCTGTATTATGTTCATTTAAGCATGCAGTACTCAGTACAAAATTGGCTATGGTGTCCAGTATTAGATCTCCTTAGATTAACCCACGTAAGTGTTCCCCAAGGCATAAATCTATCACTCTGTAAGGATACACTATGAGAACAGGTTCCAGGTTACAGCTTCTTCG